CGAAAAATAAAAAGAAAGAAAGTTTTTATTCTTATTTCAATTAACGGTTAAATGCTTGTTGTGATGCATCATGGGAGTATTCTATATTTTTTTCAAACTTTTTTCCTTATTGTTTATTAGCATTTTTATCAGTATTTTAGCGTATTTTTATTGCTTAACTTTTAATTTTTCTTTTATTATTAATTATTTTGGTTCCAGACTACTCTGTATCTTAGTAATAAGGCTTGTGGCTATTTAGCAATTTAGTTGTTGATATCACTAAAAGCTAATGCATTTTTTGTGTAATTTTCGTTTAATTTTATATTCGTAATTTTATTATACACGTACGTCATATTGATGGAAAATCCTTTGTTATTATAAAAGGCTTCAACCTTTTATCTTATTTAAAATTATAACATTCATAGGGAATGTATTTAGTAATGTCAACATGGCGTCAGTGTGTGTGTGTGTGTGTGTGTGTGTGTGTGTGTGTGTGTGTGTCCTGTCCACGAACCAGTGAAGGCGGTTTGCCTTCACTGGTTGGTGGACAGGACTTGTACATGTCGGATTCGTATATCATTGATTGATTCACTTGAGTACAGGAGGAGTGTCCATGTATACACATACACGCACACACACATACACAAAAACACACACACACACACATACATATATAGATAGATAGATAGACTGAGATAAATAAAAAACAACCCAAACTGAAATCGATAATATCGATAAATGAACTAGAACAGATTATATATATATATATATATATATATATATATATAAATATATATATATATATATCTAATTCTATGAAATAGATAGAATTCTATATATATATATATATATATATATATATATATATATATATATATATATATATATATATATATATATAATTCTATCTATATTATATATATAGTTCATTATCTATCTCAATCTGATTATCGATATCAGTTTGTGGGTTGTTTTTTTATTTATCTGTGGGGTTGCTATCATCTATCTATCTATCCATCTATCTTTTTCAGATTACCATGCAACCACACACACACAATCGATTTTAATATGATATATATATATACAGAGACACAATGCCTTTTTACACACTTTAATTTTATATCCGCCATTTTGCTATATATATATATTGTTGTAAAATATTATTCTTCGATCTCTTATATTATCCAGAATTATATATCTAGTTCATTTAGAGATGTCAACATGGCGTCAGTGTAAAACCGCCTTCACTGGTTAGTGAACAGGACATGGACGTGTTGGATTCGTATCTCGTTGAGTGACTCACTCGAGTATAGGACACATGTATGGGGGTCTAAATATTATGTTTACTATGTGAACTACGATAAAAATATAAAAGAGATAAATATTAATAATGATATGTAATAATAATTACTGAGGCACGAAAACTATTTCGGGGATTCCACAAGGTTAAAAAGTTTGAGAAACGTTGTTCTTGAGTATGCATTCATTAACTTGCTTTGAGTAAATTACAATGTGTATCCACTTATTAAATTGTCTCATGTATATTATGATTACATTGCCTCGTGTGTCTACTAATTATAGTATTGTGCGTTCATTCATTACATTGCATCCTACAGTTATTTCCTACAAAATCTTTCTTACATTACATACGCTGTTATTGTCTTCAATATGCCTTAAATTAACGGCTACATGTTTGTGTTACATTGCCTTGGGTACAGATGTCTTACATTATCTTGTGTACGCTTTTATTCATCTTGTTATGTATGCATTCATTTCACTGTATTTTGTATTAGCCTTTTGCAGCTTTCATATTTCCCTTATTATCTTTATGTCTTTTTTTCATAACTATTGACTACATATTGGTCTTCAGCATGATTAAGGTAGCTAAAAGCATCTATACCAGATATCTGGATAATTCTTTCATTACCTTCCTTGGAATATACTCTTATTACATTACACTATGGAAATATTTATTAAATTGTCTCGTGTATATATTCATTATACCGTCTCGTGGATGTATTAATTGTATATTATCGTGCGTTCATTTATTACTTTACATCCTGTATTTATTTTCTGAAAACAGTTTACTAATTCATGCACGCAGTTATTGTCTTTAATATGCACTATAATATCGCCGCTATTTGTACGTTACATTGCCTTGTGCATAATGACTTGTGTATTCATTTATTACATTTTATATTGTATTCATTTATTTTGCTGAATTTTCTATTACACTTGCGCAGTCTTTCCTTTTTTATTATTACTGTTCTATCCCATTTCATAAGTCTGCTAACTGCTTACTTCTCTTCAGCATGAAGGTAATGAATGATTACTAAAGATAAGCCGAAATAGCCGCTTGTATCCCAATTAGGATAAAAGCGGCAATTCCGGCTTATCTTTAGCATGCATTAATAACCTCAGTTTGAGTATGTGTCTACTAAATTTAATTGTCTATTCATATATGAAATTGTCTCATGTATATTTTCATTATATTGCCTTGTGTATGTATTAATTGAATCGTATTGTTCGTCTATTTATTAAATTATACTATCTATTTGTTTTCTGGAAATATTTTCCGACCTTATGTATGTTGTTATTTGTTGAGTATTCATTATATTATCTCCGCTATTTATCTGTTACATTGCCTTGTGTACGGATCTTATATATTCATTTATTACTTCTTATTATATATGCATTCATTACGATAAATTCTGTATTAGATTTGTACATCCATTATTCAGTTTTACATTTATATATCTTTACATAAGTCTACTAACCATATACTTGTCTCCAACATGATTAATGAGTGTAAAATTGAATTCATACTGCCTTGAGTACGCCTTCATTACCTTGCTTTGAGCATGCATGTATTACATTACAGTACGGGTACATCTAGTAAACTGACCCGTGTATATATTTATTATAATGTTTTTTATGTATTAACTAAAGCGCGTAGTGTGTTTATGTATTACATTACATTGCAAAAGGTAAAACTTTTACAACCGCATGTATGTGTTACATTGCCTTGAGTACAGATATATGACGTTGCCTTGTGTATGTCTTTCTTATATCTTATTTTGTATATAAGACTTGTACGTTCTTTCTTTTCTTATTTTTACCTTTTATATTTTTATTTCAGCTGTCTGTTGACTACATGATCTTTCTATTGATTAATGGTGGGTAAAAACGTCGATTGCGGCTGTCAAAATCTGCCTATAAAATAGGGACAGTATACGGTGAAAACCAGCTAAAAACGTCCAAATATGTGGCTTGAAAGACGAACACTGTATCCATTATGCGATGAGGATTGTCCAGACTTTAATGTCAGTTAATTTAATACCGTCGTCATTTCGAAGTAAGTCAACATTTTCAGAAAGCAGAAATGTTCTGAGATGTGATAAAGATCTGAGATTTGGACGAATAAAATCCGGATAAAAATGTGGGGAATCGTGGATCATATCTGATTTTAAAGAGAGTGGCTTGAAAGGGATATTATATATAGGAGGCATGGTGAAGGAGGAGGCACGGTGGAGTAATGGATATTGGCTTGGATTAAGGAATCGGAGAGCCGAGTTCGAATTCCAGTCGAATCCATTATATTCACTTACGTGCTAATACCCTTGGGAAAGGTATGAATCCTCTACTTCTCCCTCCAACTATGGACAGACTGGGTTCTATAGCCTTGGATGGCAACTGGTCTAGGAGAAGGACAACTCTGAATTCACAACCTGCGGAGGGTCGTTTGGGGACCTTGTGGCACGTATTCTCTGTATTTGGCCCTTCAAAAATTGTGGATGGTCCTGCACGAAACCTTCACCATTATAATCAATTCTCAAATGCTGTTGTCGGGCTGTCGGTTTCCTGGGAACTGATCTGAATTCGACGGGAGACGAGTAAGTAAGTATATATATATATATATATATATATATATATATAGTAAAAATAGGAAGAACAGTAAGATATGTAATCCGGTGTTCTTATTGATATTTTTATTTTTACAAAACAGTGCTCAATAATAAATATTATAAATTAACTGATTTAAAAATATGGTTTCATCTTTACACAGGAATTACCATGTTTCAAAAACAGAAAACAAAATCTTCAAATTCAATAATATTAAATTAAAAGGATTAATTTTGTTTTTTTATCTTTTAAGCGAATTTTGGAATCTTGGCTCCAAAATTCGCTTGAAGATAAAGCAGAATTAATGCTTTTAAATCAGTTTAATTTATTTATTATATATATATATATATATATATATATATATATATATATATATATATATATACGTATATATAAATATATATATGTATATATATATATATATATATATATATATATATATATATATATATATGTGTGTGTGTGTGTGTGTGTGTGTGTGTGTGTGTGTGTGTGTGTGTGAAAAATAGGAAAGAACACGTTAGGCAAATAATTCTTTAGTATTTTTGTTTTTATTTTTTAAAAACAGTGCTCCATACAGAAGTAGAGCTTAAATTTTTTTCGCTTGAGGATGAAACAGGGCTTGGCACTTTAACTCAATTTAATTTTAATAATTAGATTGAGGTATTCAGCTTTCTTTTTGAAACATGAGAACTCTTATGTAGCGAAGGAATCATATTTTTTTTAAAATAATTATATATATATATATATATATATATATATATATATATATATATATGTATGTAAAGAAATAAAGAACGGAAGGAATACGTAAAATTTTCAACCCATTTCAAATAGGGCTATATATACTTCTTTCAAATTATTTCCCGATATTTTAGTGATTTATGTCTCTTTCTTCTTCTTTACTCATTCATCTATTTTTCTCCTTCTTCCATCTTTCTTCTTATATATTCTTCTTTCATAAATTTTCGTGATTTATGTTCCTTATTTCTTTTTTCTTCCCCCCTCCCTTTCCTTCTTTCGTTCATATTTCTTCATATTTTCGTTCATTTCTTCAATATTTTCATATATTCTCCTTCCCTATATTTTCGTAATTTATATCTCGTTCTTTCAACTTTTTGAATTCTTCTTCTTCTTCTTCTTCTTCTTCTTCTTCTTCTTCTTCTTCTTCTTCTCCTTCTTCTTCTCTCCACTTCATTTTCTTTTTCGTTCTTCTTCTTCTTCTCCTTCTTCTTCTTCTTCTTCTCTCCACTTCATTTTCTTTTTCGTTCTTCTTCTTCTTCTTCTTCTTCTTCTTCTTCTTCTTCTTTCTTCTTTTCTTTTCTTCTTCTTCTTCTTCTTCTTCTTCTCTCCACTTCATTTTCTTTTTCGTTCTTCTTCTTCTTCTTCTTCTCTCCACTTCATTTTCTTTTTCGTTCTTCTTCTTCTTCTTCTTCTCTCCACTTCATTTTCTTTTTCGTTCTTCTTCTTCTTCTTCTTCTTCTTCTTCTTCTTCTTCTTCTTCTTCTTCTTCTTCCATGACGACGACTGCTGCTACTACTGCTGCTATTTCTGCTGGTGTTATTACAGCGTTTTCCATTCTTCTTCTTATTATTATTATTATTATTATTAGTGTTAGTTTTCCTTCTTTATTTTCTTCGTCTTCTGTGTTTTCTTTCTTCATTCGTCTTTTTTCTTCTCCTTCATCTATTTTTTCTACTTTTTCCTTTCTTTTACTTTTCATTCTTTTTACCTTTTTATCATTCTTCATTTATATTTTTCTTTCTTTCTTAGTCTTCTTCATTCTTTTTCATATTCGGCATCATTCCCCTTTATTTTTTTTTTTTACTTGTTTCATCATCTTTCTTTTTCTTCTCTTCCTTCTCCTTCATTTTTCCTTCTTTTTCTTCTTCTTTCTCCATTTCATTTTCTTTTTCGTTCTTCTTCTCCATTATCCTCCTCTCTTTCTTCTTCTCCTACTACATCTTCTTCTTCTTTTCGTACTTCGTTCGTATTTCTTGTTTCTTTCTCTTTCTTACCATTTTCTCTCCTTCTTTCTTCTTCAACTTCTTTCCTCATTCTTTTTCTTTCGTCTACTTTCTTCTTTTTTTCTCTTATTTTTCTTCCTTTTTCTTTACTTCTTTCTTTCTTTCTTTCTTTCTTTCTTTTTTCTTTCCTGCCTTCTTTATTTTTCATTCTTATTCTTCTCCGTCAGTCGTATTACTCTTTTTACTTTCTTTCTTTCTTTCTTTCTTTCTTTCTTTCTTTCTTTCTTTTTCATTCTTATTCTTCTCCTTCAGTCGTATTTCTCTTTCTTTCTTTCTTTCTTTCTTTCTTTCTTTCTTTCTTTCCTGCCTTCTTTATTTTTCATTCTTATTCTTTTCCGTCAGTCGTATTTCTCTTTTTTCTTTCTTTCTTTCTTTCTTTCTTTCTTTCTTTCTTTCCTTCTTTATTTTTCATTCTTATTCTTCTCCTTCAGTCGTATTTCTCTTTCTTTCTTTCTTTCTTTCTTTCTTTCTTTATTTTTCATTCTTATTCTTCTCCGTCAGTTGTATTTCTCTTTTTTCTTTCTTTCTTTCTTTCTTTCTTTCTTTCATTCTTTCTTTATTTTTCATTCTTATTCTTCTCCTTCAGTCGTATTTCTCTTTCTTTCTTTCTTTCTTTCTTTCTTTCCTTTTTATTTTTCATTTTATTCTTTCCGTTTCTTTTTTTTCCTTTCCTTCTTTCCTTCTTTATTTTTCATTCTTATTCTTCTCCTTCAGTCGTATTTCTCTTTCTTTATTTATTTCTCTCTTTCTTTCTTTCTTTCTTTCTTTCTTTTTCCTGCCTTCTTTATTTTTCATTCTTATTCTTCTCCTTCAGTCGTATTTCTCTTTTTTCTTTCTTTCTTTCTTTCTTTCTTTCATTCCTTCTTTATTTTTCATTCTTATTCTTCTCCTTCAGTCGTATTTCTCTTTCTTTCTTTCTTTCTTTCTTTCTTTTTCCTTCCTTCCTTCCTTCTTTTCTTCTCCGTCATTTTTCATTTTTATTCTTCTCTCCTCAGTCGTATTTCTCTTTTCTTTTCTTTCTTTCTTTCTTTCTTTCCTTCTTTATTTTCATTTTATTCTTCTCCTTTCTTTTCTCTTTCTTTCTTTCTTTCTTTTCTTTCTTTATTTTTTTTCATTCTTATTCTTCTCCTTCAGTCGTATTTCTCTTTCTTTCTTTATTTCTTTTCTTTCTTTCTTTTTTTTCTTTTCTTTCCTTCTTTCTTTTCTTTCTTTCCTTCTTCTTTATTTTTTCATTCTTTCTTTCCTTTCTTTCCTTCAGTCGTTTGTCATTCTTTTCTTTCTTTCGTTTTCTTTCTTTCTTTCTTTATTTCTTTCTTTCCTTCTTCTTTATTTTTCATTCTTATTCTTCTCCTTCAGTCGTATTTCTCTTTCTTTCTTTTTCTTTCTTTCTTTCTTTCTTTCTTTCTTTCTTCCTTCTTTATTTTTCATTCTTATCCTTCTCCTTCAGTCGTTTCTTTTTTCTTTCTTTATTTCCTTCTTCATTATTTTCATTCTTTTCTTTCTTTCGTATTTCTTTTTTCTTTCTTTCTTTTTTCTTTCTTTCTTTCTTTCTTTATTTTTATTTTCATTCTTATCCTTCTCCTTCAGTCGTATTTCTCTTTCTTTATTTATTTCTCTCTTTTGGCTTTCTTTCTTTTCTTTCTTTCTTTTTCCTTTCTTTATTTTTCTTCTTATCCTTCTCTTCTTTATTTTTTCATTCTTTCCTTTCTTTCTTTCTTTCAGTCGTTTTTTTCATTCTTTTCTTTCCTTTCTTTTCTTTTTCTTTCTTTCTTTCTTCTTTCTTTCTTTCTTTCTTTCTTTCTTTCTTCCTTCCTTCTTTATTTTTTCATTCTTATTCTTCTCCTTCAGTCGTTTTTTCTCTTTCTTTATTTCTCTCTTTCTTTCTTTCTTTCTTTCTTTCTTTCTTTTCCTTTTATTTTTCTTTCTTCTTTCCTGCCTTTTCTTTTATTTATTTCTCTCTTTCTTTCTTTCTTTCTTTCTTTCTTTCCTTCTCCTTTCCTGTCGTATTTTTCATTCTTATCCTTTATTTATTTCTCTTTCTTTTATTTATTTCTTTCTTTCTTTCTTTCTTTCTTTCTTTCTTTCTTTCCTGCCTTCTTTATTTTTCATTCTTATTCTTCTCCTTCAGTCGTATTTCTCTTCTTTCTTTCTTTCTTTCTTTCTTTCTTTCTTTCTTTCTTTCTTTCACTTTTTCACTGTCATTTATCCACTTATTTTCCTACATTCTTAATCCTATACATTTCCTCTACAATTTTATCGCCTTTTTCATTCACCCCTACACCATTCTTATGATGAAACTGAATTGATATATACATATATATACTAATATATAATTTACTAATTCCTCGTAATAAGACAGTGTGTATGTATGGAGAGGAAATATACACGCATGGTGACAAAAACACAAGAAAATGGAAATAGATCTAAGAACACACAGGGGTCATTAAAAGATAAGAATGCCGAAAACTCCTTCACCATTTCTTGGACCAATCTTAATTGTTTTATAACCCTTTCACGCAGAATTTTTCACTGCCAATTCAGGAAGACATTTTGGTCTCTAACACACAAAAAAGAGAATGTCTCATATCGATATTATTTAACATTGAAAAACTTAAGAAAAAATTATTTTTGATAATATGTGGAAATCTCCACCCTTTGCCTGATAATGGTCACGAGAACGGAAACCCGTGTAGCAAAATTATGGAAAATAAAGCATAATAATTAAAAAAAAATCCACATTACAACCAAAAATGTTCGCGGTTTCTCTCTTCTTTTTAATATACACACTTTTCTCAAGAACTACTATAACCTCTTCCCTTATATATATATATATATATATATATATATATATATATATATATATATATATATTATTCTTCGAGAATTTACAACAAAAATATTAAACTATTAAATATTAAAATATTGAAATATATTAAACACTATTTATTATATTATTTTTTTTTGCGATCATTGGCAAAACATCGGCTAATCGCAGGTTGATTCAAACATAAAATGATAAATATCAAGGATTTCCTTATAGTTGGTTCACATAATTTAATAATTTAGTAAATGTTTACAAATTTATGAATAAAAAATTGTTTTCACATTTATTTCTTTATGAAATTGGTAAATGATAAATATTGCATTGCATTAGTTCATCTTGTTATCAATTCTCAGGAACAAAAATGTATAAATTTGCTTTCATCATATGTTTAGGTTTTATTACAGTTTTAATCATCACTTCTTAAACAACAAATATGTCTGAGGATGGAAAGTAGTTAAAATAATAGCCGTGTCATGGGAAAATCTGTTCTTTTGGCACTACGCCATATTGTGGACACGTTTGTCCATGTTTGCCGAAAGTTTTATCTTTAACACTAAAAGTATTACCGTATATAGTGTAAGCAGTATTTCTTGTACTGGAGGTGCAATCTCTTACACTATTAGATTTATCTTTAACACAAGAGGCATCATATCTTGCCTTGCAAGATTTAGTCCATACATTAAACACATTATCTGTGACGGTGTAAGCAGAATCTCTTGTACTATAGGCTTTGTGTGTTATATGAGAGACATTATCTCTTATCGTGAAAGTTTTCTCTATTACACCAAAGGCATTATCTCTTACAATATAGAGTACGTCTTGCACAAGAGTCTTTATTTGTTATACGTGAGACATTATCTCTTACTGTGGAAGTTTTATCTATTACACTAAAGGCATTATCTTATACAGTATCTCTTGCAATATAGGCTTTATTTGTTTTGTATTATCTCTTACCTTGATTTTTTTCTCTTACAGCTGTTGTCTTTTACAGTATATCTCTTGCACTAGAGGCTTTAGCTCATATACAGGAGGCAATATCTCTTACATTGAATTTTTCATCTTTTACACAAAAGCATTATCTCTTAGAAAGGCTTACGGACAAATGATGTTGAAATACCGATTCCTAGCAATTAAGCAACGTCGAGCCTGGCCAGTACCTAGATGGGTAACCTCCTGGGAATACCAGGTGTTGTAAGCTTAGTTGTGCGGGTAGTGTAATGGATAATGGCTCGGAATTGTTAATCGGAATGCTGATTTCCGATTCCTATTGGCTTCGTTATATCCAGTTACGCGCAAATACACTTTGGATCTGGGAAGCATCATCTCGGGAGTCTATCCCACGAAGTAACTTTTATTTGGAAGAATCTGAATGAAATTTTCTTCTTTGGAATAGGAAGAGAATGGGCATGGGTTGAAGGGGTGGAGTTTAGCGGAAATTATACTCGGCATGTTACACTTATTTCCGTGATCAAACAGAGACATTACGTAGACTCTTGCAGAATAACTGGCAGGAACCTATAAAAAGAAGTAACGACCCATTTCTTTCTCTTTTTTCTCCTCCGCCCCGGACATTGGTCACGAAACTTTATTTAATACTCTGTTAGCCCTGTCACTTTCAACGTAGGCATTATATCGTAATATGTAAGGTTTATCACCTACTCTATCATTTCTTATGAAGCTAAATATTTCACACTATAAGATTTATCGTTAACACGAGTACGCTTTATCAGGGCCGGTGCGTACTACCCTCGAACTCACCAACAAGCTTGATTGAGAGCCCCGGACACTGCTTTGTGACTCTCGTTATCTTATCAACATTTGCTTTTTTTCTACCTATATTTATATACGTTACAAATTAAACTAAGCACAACTGGCTATTAAAAGATGAAAGGTTTTCTCAGATTTTCTCACGCAAATCTGTGAATTTGTTTTGCTCATGCTAAGTCACTATATATCAGGTCATCCCATAAGTTCTGTCCGAATTTTGAATAAAGAAAACAAGTGACCAAATGTTCCATTTAATTACAGATTCAATCAACAATGTATTTTTCCTGATTACCTATGACTTCCTTCCATCTATTAACAAGCTTACTAATTCCATTACTGTAAAATTCTTTTGGCTTTGATTCGAAGAACTCACAAATGTCAGTTTTAACCTCTTCCTGTGTTACAAAAGCTGTTTCTTCCAAATGATTCTGTAAGCTACGAAACAAATGGTAGTCTGAAGGAGCAAGATCGGGTGAATAAGGTGGATGAGGAATTTTCTTCCAACCAAGTTCTTCGATCTTTTGTGACGTGATTCTTGCTGTGTGGGGTCGCGCATTGTCCTGATGAAACATCACCTCTTTTCGATTCACTAGAGCAGGTCTTTTTTTTCCTCAAAGCTTGGTTCAAACGCTCTAATTGCTGACAGTATATTTGAGCATTAATTGTTGCATTAGGTGGTAAGAATTCAAAATGGATTATTCCTTGGTGATCCCACCAGATTGAAAGAAGAACGTTTTGCCCATGAAGTTCACGTCTCGGCTGTGGCTGGGGTCCTTCCCCTTTACCAAGCTACTGTCTACGACGATTAACATTTCGATAAAAGATCCATTTTTCGTCGCCAGTCAAAAGTCTATCCAAAAAAGGTGAAACAAGTTGGCGAGAATGGAGAGAAGAGAAGATGTCAACTCGGAATTTGAGGTTGTTTTCAGACAATTCATGAGGCACCCATTTTCCAAGTTTAGGAACTTTTCCAAGTTGTTGAAGATGACGATGAACAGTTGTATGGTTTGAACTGAGAACCACTGCCAATTCCTCAACTGATAAAGCAGGATTTTCTTCAAGGGCTGCTTCAATAAGCTTTTTATCAAACTCAACTGGACGTCTGGTTCGATCTTCATCTTCAAGGGTGGAATCTCCACCTCTGAATTTTGCAAAACCATCTTCTGCAAGTTCTTTCATTCACACATTCCTCTCCATAAACTGAGTGAATGTCTCTAGCCGCTTCGACTGCTGGGTTTCCTTTCTTGAACTCATGAAGCATTATTTGCCTCAAATGATTCTTGGGTACTTCAATGTTAGCAGGGTTTTAATCAAACAAAATTTAATTTTATTGTTCTCTGAAATAAAATTTGATCAGTTTAAATGCATCTAAACATAAAAATAATGTTCAGCTCCATTAGACATTATAAAATACTCTTTAAATTTCGTTCATTTTAACAAAATTTAAAATTCGGACAGAACTTATGGGATGACCTGATAAAATTCACCATCTTGTATCCATAATGATGAATGTGCTAAAATTTATTCAACATTTTAAGAAGAAAAATCTCGTTCTGATATTAAAATCTGACGCAAAACATTGTTGAATTATTTAAGATGGAAAGATCTATTATAACATGTCTCTCAATTGAAGTTCGATACATTATATTTATTTCCAATTTTTCTAGTTGAATTGCATATGATCCATTACCGTACATAGTTAGGTTACAATGAAATTTGTATTTTATATAACTGCTAACTTATGAAAATTGAGATGTAGTAGAGTTGGGGGACTCTGTATCATAGATTCGGGGTAGGGCACGAGATTCTTGCACAGGCCCTGCATTTTTATCTCTTTTATGCTAACCAAAATTATTCGGTTAAGACATGAGTAATTTCGGCTTTGAGGGAAAAGCTAAGTTGAAATCTCTTATTACATTTGAAATACGGTAAAATAATTAACTTGGGCTTAGCAGATATAAAAAAAAAACCTTTGATCTTTTTCGCGTTTTTTTTTATATATATATACTGAAGTTCACTTCATGCAAGACTCGTGGTCCACACTTGATTTATAGTGAAAAAAGTTATCCCAAATTTGAATAGAAACTAGTAAAAAGAGTACTGAACTGTTATGCAATATGAATCCTACAATATGAAAGGGAATAGTGAACAAAATGAGGAACAGATGTGAGGCAACAAGTTGTTCTACAGAAGGATGATGAGAATGCCAGGGACGGGGCATACGAACAAAGAGGAAGTTTTACATAAATGTGAAACAAAAAGGGCACTTCGAATCAAAAAGAGAGACTTGAAATTTCTGGGACGCATAATGAAGTATGCAGGCTTGGAGAATTTAACACTCACAGGAGTTATTGAACACAAGAGAGGCTGAAAGAAACTTACCTGTGTAAATGGATGGCAGAACAGGTATTGGGACACAAATATTACTTAGAGCTACAAAGGAAAGGAAGCTATGAAGAGCCATGTACACCTACCAAACAAGCATGTGTAAAGGGATGGCAGAACATGTATTGGAGAGAGTGAGTAAGGATACAAAACATTACTTAAATATTAGAAAACGAAAGGAAGCTGTGGAAAGGGATGGCAGAACATGTATTGATCACCTTAAAACGAAAGGAAGCTGTGGACCCCTGTGCAAATGAATAGCGGAACAGGTAGTAAGGACAGAAACGTTATTTAGAGCTACAAAGGAAAGGAAGCT